AGGTTGGGGTCCACAAAGCTCTACAACCGGTTGATTGGAGACACTGAAGGATATGGCAATTAACCGACAGCAGTGGCGTTCTTGCTGTCATTTCTTATCAGGTCAGAGTGCTTGAAATATATGTATACACAATTAGATTGTTTATGCTCTGTTGACCAGAGCGGTTCACTATCTTTGTCTTCCTCCAATTAAACCCAATCGCTCTCCATCTTGTGCTTTATAACCTGATTTGTGTACATTGTAAGCTTGGCAGCGATCAGTGAAGTTCGCTTCACTGTATCTCGCTGTACGTTGATGAAAATGATGATGACTATTTGCTCTTAGCGAACCGGCCTGTTGTTTTCTTGATAAACAGTTTGAACTGCTTCGTCATTTAAATTAATCTAGTATAGCTTGCGTTGAATTCTTCAACATCAGAAGAGAAAGTGAGATGCGAATTTTACGTTCATAAAGCGGTTTTTAACTCTTACCCTTTATCCCCATTGGTGCTTGAGAACAAAGTGGAAACGAGAAGAAATTTATTTTTCAATATATCGGTTCAGGCATTTACATATATCATATTTCTAGTCATTTGATTACCATTACTGTTACCGTAGTCATAGAAGTGATCGTCCTATATTCCTATATGATACCTTTTCCAATCTCCTGTCTTTCCTCATTTACACACACCAACACACCTACACACAGACGCACACACACATTTTCACACCTGCTTCATTCACTCTGGATAAACACCTTCCATATCGTGCCCACTTCACACATTTTAATTTGCTTTGACCTACTCATCTATGGTGACTCCATTGAAACTTGTCAACTGGACAGTCGGCCCACACGCACATACTCACACACAGAGAGAGAGAGAGAGAGACACACACACATTCATTCAACATCAGCTTAGGCTTTGAATTATTCCAATGACTAATAGGACTATATACGGAAATGCCTGGAGCGATGTATCGAAAAGAAATTTCTTATCGTTTCCACTATGTTCTTGCAGTTTAGTTACTATCGACCTGAGTCGGGGTGTTAGATTTCTTTCAATGTGTAAAATCTGACTAAGAATCGATGGAGTAAATTGTTTTTAATTGTTTACACGATTGACATACAATTATTTTGCTTTAGATACTGTTGTCTTTCTTACGTAATCTGTAGTGCAAATTCTGTACTTCTTATCGTGCTTCATAGCACTTGCACACTGTACTAGTGTCGATATCGACCACGAGCACGTTCCAACACTTTTAAGACAGCCATAACGAGATACTTCACTGATATGCATGTGATTCTAACACCAAATAATCTGCCTCACGTGACTAACTTCCGCGTCTCCCTCCGGCAACATTCACAATTGCTGTGTTGTCAATAATTTTACTGTCGTTCATAGTCGCACAAGATTATTGTGAAAGCCTTCGTTCTCTGTTTTTGCTTGAGATGTGAGGAAATCGCTTCGATTTAACTTGCTGCTGAATATAAATTACTGATCTGGCTATCCACGGCAAGCTATTTTATTAGGCGATCTCCTGCGCTCTGCAAAATCGTGCGTAGATCACTACCGTCGTTTTATGGTTGTAATTCATAAGATCCAGTGTAGATACAACTGAAAGGATTGAATAATTAAAATCTTTTTTTGCGTAAACGTGGGTCGCTTTTAAACAATAGATGATGCATTTCGCTTTGACTAGGACACCTATTCAACATTGCTGTATGCTGATATCAAATGATATGCATGCGCAGACACACAATTGTTGTTCACTAGACAGCCACATCGGAATATCAAAATGACACACTCATTCCTTGATTCCTATCTAGGGAAACTATAGTTGTGAGCAATAACAATCGGCTGCTAACAAGTGATCAATAACTAAAGACGGCTTCGCTCATCACTGATTATTCATTCCAATCTCTGGGTATGGTGCCAAGTGCAAGCAGGTAGAGCACAGATCGTGGCATAAACCGTTCATTCTTACAAACCACGATGATATTAAATGGACTGTCTGAGTTATTAGTTTCTTCATTTCCGTCCCCTTTTGTTCAAATCCACATTAAAACACTATGAACAAAATAACTCAGTTGTCTGTTTAACAAATTGGAAATAAAGGAAATGGAGGTGAGAAAATGGTGCTTCAGGCAAAGCTTTTGACTGATCCTCTTCAGATAAAGGTATGGTCCGCGTGCTGATTGAGGCCTAGACATCAGTTTCCTGAGTTTATTATCGATTCCCAAAGCACTGTTGTATATCGAAAATCTATGCATCCAGCGTTTCCGTGTCAGTGACCGTTTTTATATTCCAACCATAGTTCAGTGTCCAAATGTAACTTGCATATACACGAGTACCTTCGGCTTACCATGCGCAAACTAAAACTTTGTCTATATAAGCACCGGTTCCACGGATACACCTTTGTGTGGACTAAAAGAAGGTAAAGCGGGATTAACCTAGTTTTAAGTGCAGCGCGGCCAATTCTTTGTATAAGAGTGAATCCATTGAAATCATTTGCTCATTTATTGCTAATATTATCATTATTAAGTCATGAATTATTATAGGCAAAGAGAACAGATAGAAATGTGACGACATTTATTTTCACACCCTCACAACGGCACCTAGTTTCCTCAATATAGCCTACAAGATAACTGCTGGCAGCGAAGTGCATGATCGAGGAAACCAAGCGACTGGAATACGCTAAAATTTGGAAACGAAATATTATGAAACTATTTCTAATTAGGTCAAGATTTATTCTGGATCTTTATTGGACTTGCAATCAAATCTATCAACAAAGGTAGATCAAAACAAAATCTTTATAACATTGAGTGACTTCCGTGAGCTGTATGCAGACCATGATTTTGTCGGCTATCATAATCTATAATATAATTGTCAAAAGTGTTTTCAGTACCACTGCGTATCTGTACGAAGAAGGTTCAACATGAGGTTGATTATTATTATTATTATTATTATGTCGCTTTGGGTTCGATTTATTGGAATTTCTGCCCGGAAATGCTCTGTTTCTATACACAAAGGGAATAACTTGCAGCAATGCTTTTTATTTCACTCTGTACATGAAGCAGATTGGTAAACTACACGATGCTCCTTTCTATGTTGTATTGCCTGAACAGTCTCGATCCGATGGCAAGGATAAAATAGATGCACCAGTGCTTCGAGATCAAGTGGATCCAGGCATCAATCAGTGCACATTCCGGTTCTTTTTCATGATATATACTGCCGACATCAGCTATGAGTACAGTGATACAACTGCTTTCGATGGCCTGGCGTCGATGATTTGCAGGACATATACAACGGCTGCCATGTGGTTGACCTAGGTAAGTTAGTAATGAGGCTAAAACTTAGGTTTTGTCGTTGCAGTTGAAAGCGGAACTTCTCCCTGATCCATGCCATTCACACATGCGGAGATTTGAATTACATATGGTAGACCACCCAGTGCCAGTCGCATTACATTGGGTGCCTTGAGCCATATAGATTTAACCTCTAAATGTCTGTGACAACGAAATTTTGATCAAGATTACCCGTCTCTGTTTCGGCCCCTGTGTTACAAAATATCGTACGGGAAATGCGCTTTTTTACGTTCAGTTTGTCTGAAGTGAAGTCAAGATACGATAATCGAATTTTTTTCTGGAAAATATTATGATGTTTCAATGAGCAAGTAGTGAAACCGTTTGGGAGAGGTTCATGTTGAAAATATGGTACGTTTTGTTGAAAACTATTCTCTTGCGCACGTCGTTAGATAATCAGTCTCAGGAGATGTCCTGTATTTCACCGATGCATCTATGTACTGTATTTATCACATCACTAGTCGTTTATACTGATCAGAAAATGATGCATGAATGTATGCTACTGTTATTGAACGTATTCCAGTCAGCGTGTGTTTTTCCACATGCCACTAACTGTTCATTGATTATTCATTCCTTGATTTCCAACCCTGTATGTGTCTCTTCTGGAATAGCTCTTATTATAGCTCGACCACAGTCACGTCAATTTAATTCAGCATTAATCTGAGTGTGATCAATGTTCAATAGAAAAATATATCTCGACCTTTCCTTATGAGTATTCAGTATTTTGTGCGACCACTTCTACTTCACTATTACGTCTACATAATGACCTGTGATTTAGTTACCGTCGGCCCCTGGAGAGATTTTGGTTTTCTGTGTTTCCATTCTAAATTTCGCAAGCATAAAACGTTTCAGAGCTTGTTGGTAGCAAGATACCTAACCGGTTTGTTCTGTTTTGGCCCAGGTTCACGAGCACCAGGCGAGCCTAAGCTGTCCCAATTGGTTCTTGAGTAATAAATATCTGACACAAAAAGTATTTTTCAAGTTGTAAGCCTTTATCAAGCCCAGTTAACCCGGACAATGTTTAATCAGTCGATAATCAAACTGTGTTGTTTATTTTGAAGTGATCAAAATTACAACTCAGATTGGTTGGTTTTAGTCTTCTGGTCATGTGTTGTTCGCATCAACAGAGACTATGCTCATCGGAAGAATAAAACGGGTCAGGTTTTCGATCACGTGGTACGGAAAAAATGAATGCGAAAAGTAGAAAAAACGAAATCGAATACCAGAAATTACTGGATATTGACAGTTCCTTGAATACAGAAGGAGCGAAAAGAAAGCAAACAGCTGCTATTTTGACAGAATATGTATTGTTACGTTGTATGTTTTGGATCAGTGTCGGATGGAGTAGGGGTGGATAACGTTGTTAGACTTCATGTCTCAGTTGTGATGCTACTAAAGTTAACTTGTTCGGGATTAAAGCGTGATCAGTTACCATAGCATTTTACGCCGATTCTACTCACCTTGGTACAGGTTCAAATAACTGCATTCATGGTGTCAATGGCCTATAAAAGCACGCGAATTTGGGAGGATTTCTAGAGTGCGTTAAACTCTTTTTCGACTGGGAGAAGATTTGAACAGCCGGTGCCCACACTTTCAGGAACAAGGTCAGTTTGTGGGGGGGGGTGTGTACATGTGTTTTTGTGTATTCGCGGATGTGTCTATTATGCATTGAAACCGTTGTATAATCTTGGTGTAATGCTCGGATCAGTTTCATATTCGATTATCGGTTTCGAGAAACCAGCATGATCTTTCATTAATCTTTCTCGTGCACCTCTATTAGTCAGCGTTGATAAACTGTCGGTGTCTGGATAATTATTTCTTTTATCCACCGCGAATCGTTCACAAAACATGTCCTTTATGATTTCGTCGTTTACAGTTAATTGAACTGTTGATTTCTTTACTTCAACTGCTTCTTCTTGAATTGGTTTAGCGATAATAATAGGCGGTTGCTTTGGCTGTTCAACTGGTTGATAACGCTCAGCTTTTATGACCCGAGTTTGCTCCTTTTCAACGTAATGCGATGGATTCATTAGTTCTGACTCACTACGGTATCGCCGCATTTGTGTAGATGCTGGCTGATTCACATACGGCTCCATGATTTGCATTGTTCCTCTATTCAACATCGGTTTACCATCGTGCAATGCTTGTTGCCGTGCCGGATCCCTATTGACCGGAGCTGGCTTGGTGTAGGTTGATGCGATGTGGTATGGTCTGACTTGTTTTTCGTTCGAATACTGTGGCGAGTTTGGACGACGGTGATAACGTCGTTCTATCATTTCATTGTCATCCACCCATGTGTCCCATCTGCGGCTCACCATAGGATACCTACTTTGCCTTGGTCTTCCTCTGGGGTCAACATGATTGTGATAAGCATAGTCGGTATTGCGCCACTTGTCATTAATACGGATCCATTCGCCTTCGATAGCTCCGTTATTATAGACGGATCGGGATCGAGGAGCTGGTGCTTGTTTAACAGAAATTATTTCGCTTGGGTTTTGAGAAACGTCTTGCGCAACCACGGAGATCCGCTTACAGTGAGGACACTCGATAGCAGACCTAGGTGGTTGTTGTTGTTGATATGCTAACGTTTGTGACGGTGGAGGTGGCGATGACCGTGCTAGTGGTGGAGGTGATACTTCTCCATATCTTGTTTCCAATTGTTCCACTGAAGGAGGAGGTGCTGGAAAACTGCGACGGTGATTCTCTTGGTAAATTGAATCTGTGTCTAAGAGAAGTTTATTGGTTGTCATCCTGGAAATCTCCAGTATATCTTCAATACGGCGTATATCCTCCATATTATCACACTGGTACACTTCGTACCGCCGTTTTGCACTTTTCTCTTCAATCACATACAGCACAAAACAAAATGTCTGGGGATCGCTTTTGTAGAACACCTTTATTTCCCGATAGAACAGAGTTTTTCGAAAATTTTTTCGGGTGAAACGTATACGGTCGGGCAAGAATATGGCCGTGCCGCGTTTGCCTTTTTTCTGAAAATATTTTGCCATAGCCCTGTCGGCCACGAAGTCCAAAAATCCCTGATCATATTTCTGTGTCATGCGACCCAGCTGACGTAGAGGGATTTCTTGTTGCACAATAAGTCCGGTTTTCCTATCCACCGGCTGATTCACTGAGTTGTATAGTAACGGATTCTCATAGCGTCCGGTCATTCTGTTAATGCTAGGTGTTATTCGAGGTGGCAGTAGTTGGGTGCGATCAAAAAGGGTTTCACGAGGTTGAACAGAAAAAGTGTACAAAAAAGGAAATCAGACAGATAAATAAGTCCCCGTGACTTGGTGCTGCTTAACAATGTTCAGCGTTTGTGTTCGAGACAATAATACGCACGCCGCTCACACCACCACCACCACTGACACCAGTGCTCAGCATGCAAAGCTAGAGTAGAACTTAGTCATGTGATTGCTTGCGGGTGCGTAAGTGATATCAAGTTATTCCGTAATTGGTCAAAACGAAGCAAACATACGAACCAATTGAAACTGTTATGAGCATGGGTGCATAAGTTCGAGTTGAGAATTCTGTGAATTGAAATTGTTTGCGTCAGCTGAAATTCAGTTACCTAATACATAACTGAATTTTAGATGATAAACTGTTAGTAGAATATTCCTCATATGCCACAGAATCGGATGGTAAACCCCAATCAGTTCTGAGCGTTCGATTCCCTCGTTGGTCATAGCTTTCGGACAAAATATTGCCTTGCATAGAAGCTGGAATTCCCTATAATTTTAAGGGGCATATTTTAGTCAGGTAAACTTCAGCGTCGGGTCATTTTTGTCTTAGATAAGAAAGCGGGATGTAGAGTATGATTTTTTGTTCCACACTGGACTTGGTAGTAAATGTGAGGCAAAGATTTACCCCAGTGCTGTATTCCACATAAATTGCTTAAGCAGTCTAATAAAAGAGAAATGATGGTGGCTTTATCCTCATAGGCTTTGTGCATGTTGAACGTCTTGAGTAATGAAATACTCTTTGGAAAAATTAGCTGTTAATTTCCACATTTTTTAATGCTCAAGTTGCCGAATAATAATTTCAATTTTGATCTGTTGTTTATCCGGTCATTCCTATATTATAAAACAACAAACTCGAGGTTCGAATCTTCCGAACCACTCAGCATTTGACCACAATCCTCATTCGTCGGAGACCTAAGAATTAATCCTCTTACGGGATATGCAATATAAACGTTGATTCAACCATTGGCTACGCACTATTAACGAACTTGGATGATAAATTAACCGAATTCTAATTCACTCACAGACCCTATTTAAACTATCGAAATGCGTTCTCCGTTTTTTTTATTGTTTCTCGGGGGAGTTTATAGCTCAATTTGTTTCGTTATATACAAGTCCCTTTCTAACATTTGTAACCAACAAAATGAAAAAAGAGCGGATCTTCACTTCACACTGCGAGCCACCGGGAGAATTTTCACCATCACTGTTACTCTACTTGTGAGTAGTTTATCTGTAAATGGTAAAGTACAAACTAGCAGTAAGTTTCACCGAGAAAAATCTTCGATGTCGCACGTGATTCCGCGCTTTGGTAACGGTTTTGATGGCCCTCGTTGCACAATTATGTATTGTTTTCCTCGTTCCCGTGGTACAAAGCAATCAATGACATACGATCGACGATCGACAGACAATGAGTATGTGAGCAAGGCATAATAACAACAAACCAGAGTATCGTCGCGCGGCACGAAACTATTCCATCGTTCCAGAACTAATTATATTTTGGAGATTCTCTACCAATGCTTAAGGAGCATCAGATTCAGAACTTATCCTCCTCCTGTGCCGGACCAAAAGTCACACTACCCATTGGGTTAATTTATCGATCGGTCGGATGGTTTAGCCACAACAAGGGACCTGGTGCTTACCCAGCTAACCCGAGTAAAAAAACAACACCTTTTTACGACCAGGAGTCTTAGACAAGCCCAGTGAACTTCGACTGTACTGCAGGAAGGCCATTATCACACGGATGGACTGAACGTGACAACAAGAGCATTACAAAAAGTACAAGCCGGTAATTATTCAGTCTCGTGTTAGGGTGAGGGACTCCAGGTGCCGCAAATCGCAGAAAATGATCCAATCAGATCGTAGAGAGGGTCAAAGGGAAGTTACTTGTTTGAGATCACGAGTGAGCGGGACCAGATGGAGCAATCGCACTGTATCAAAAGGCAACCATGAACAAAATGAAACTGAATTTCCCGATGAGACCTTTCGCAACACAAGTTGCAATAATCGAGCTTATATGCGAACCACTGAACGGAATAAATGCCCCAGTACATGGATGGACTCGGCGCAACCACATGGGTATTTCGAATGTCTGAATTCACCAGGTTGGTTTGACTTCCTGACAATTATTTGATCATACCCAATTCTGTTGGTACCTTTACCTATTTAATGAAAAATAGAACCATACTATTTTGGGATTGATTTGAGAAAGTGTTACACCTGAATCGAAAATGCTAGATTGAGTTTGGAAAGAAACGTAAGTTCAATTTTGGAACAGAACTATGTGGCTGATATCACGTTAGTTCAGGACTCCCATTCACTAGTTCATTACCTTTATCTGTGTGAAAACAGGACCGAAACCTAAATGGATCGTTTTATACTCACCAATGGACATCAATGATATAAATCGATATACTTGTGTGACGTAACAGGACGCAGCCCAAATATCTCTTGACCAATACATGCAAGCTGTGACACATTTTGTGAAGTCTTGAAACTGGCGAGTGTATTTTGATCAATTTATAGACTGAGTTTGGATCCCAGTTTGTGAATAGCTTTAGCATTGGGTGCAGAGGTACGAAAACGAAATGTACATGGATTGAGTTGATATAATGGATTAGCTCAAGAGGATTTTTCGGATGGTCCATCAGTGTCATGGTTCACTGAAGCTACTACGTGCTCGACTTGTTCTGATCATGTTTCTGACTCCATTTTCCATTAGTCGATCATACATTTAGGAAGCGCTACACTCAAGTTTCGCTCTAAACACATCCCATCGATAGCGCGCATTTATTGTTCTGTTTAAGCTTTGGGCTTCGTAGCCATTGCTCACCCGTACCATTGTCACCATGTTTTTTTCTCTGTGGGGATATTACATTTAAATGCGTTAACCTATGAAGAATCATTAAGCCTTTCAAGAGTGATATTCACGGGTAGCCACTAAACGTAGCCCCTAGGAGCTATGAATTCACAGGGGTAATTTTATACCATGTACAAATTGTAAGTAACCTTTATTTTTCAAAACTATGTAGTGGGTAATGGTTTATTTTTGTTTCTGTAGTTTTCAAAATGGACCCACAGTGGTACATGAAACGTTTGTAAATCTATTTATTTTCAATAATTTCATTTTCTGGCTAGGTTCATATGCGGTACAGGGATGAAGTGTAGTGGAGGCAACGGGGACATCTGATCTGGATCAATTTAGGTCCACCTGAGTTTCCTTTGAGGTGGGCTTGACGAGCAATGTTTTCTTATCGGATCTTGCTAATAAGATAAGTTTTTCTTGTTCAGTCCAATTTGAAAAGTCTTCCAAGATACTCATTGCAGTGTCCATTGTTATTTTTACGAAAACATAATACAATGAGCATGTTTAATCTCGATAACTTTTATTCTCCCTCCAGTACGATTATGTCAACATGAAAAATAATAAAATAATAATAAAATGAATAAATGAATAAATAAAATAATAATAATAAAACAATAAAATGATGACTTTACCGGATAAGAAAACAATATACTATTCCGCTAAGCCAGATAGGAATTCCGAAGTCATGCTTCTTGATTGTGGTCATTAATTGGATGAGGTAGACGATATTTAATAGGATACTACCAGGAGTACATGATCAAGATAGTAAGGTAACTGGGAATGAATGGTATTTCAACGAGATAAATGCATCTACAAAACTACATACAAGTCAAATGTTTGCACCATTTAGCAGCACTGGTCGAACTGCTACAGCATACAGTCGACCCTTTACGGACAGCCGGATGTTGTGACGGCACCACTGATGTTTCAAGTTGGCAAATGCTGACCGAGCCTTCTGTATGCATGCCGACACTTCATCCGTGTCGCGTCCGCCAGGTGAGATAAAGCTACCCCGATAGTAAGATTTATCTGTATTACTTCTGCAGTCAGGGTGAGGTTAAGGACTGGACCAACCCTATTTTGTAGCAAACGTTTACACTTTGAGCTAGCAAAACGCATGCTGAATATAGTTACAATAGCAGCAAAACTATCCAGAAAAGCTTGCAACTTACCTGAATCTTCACTTAGTAGCACAATGTCGTCTGCGTACTCCAGATCAGACAGTTTGCCTGCCACCTAGGAGCAAATCGATGCCACTATCCTCATCGGAGCCTTGGACTCAAAAGTCTAACCTGCAAGGTTCATACGGGCTCTTACGGGGCACGGTCCCTCCGCCTTCTAGATATGAAGATGAAGGTAGTGGGAATTTATGGGCTTTTCTTGAGGAACCCAAACTGTGAGTCGAACTCAAAATTTTGACTCGCAAGGCAGTGGGGCGTAGATCAAATTTGGAGCGTGACCGAAACACCCATGTGGGAGCTTCTGGAGGCTTTTTACGTAAGGCCTGCGGTTTTTGGTTCAGTGTGTTGTTTGCTGGTGCGCTGGTTGACGGCCCTCTGTTCGGGACCGACCCTCAGCGTCCTCCACTGAATGAGACAAGCGGAACGTGGACGGGTAGGGGCTGTCGAGCTTGGGCGGGCGGTGGCTGTCCAATGAAGTGCGAAAATGTCTCCAACCGTCGAGAGGAAGCCCCAGGTACCTCACTCCTACGACCATCTAGTGGGCTGTTTTTGATCGATAAACTACCCCTCCCTGCATTTATTTGCTTGAGTGACCTTACCACGGGCTGGAGTGGATAGTCGGAAGAAGCCAGGTATCCAAGCAGCTGATATTGTGAGCCTCAGAGGACGAAACTAATTCCTTTTTAAAAAAGCGAACATAATTGACCTCATTAAGTGTTATCTGGAAAGAGATAACGCACTGATATTTGTCAGCGATTCACCAACTAGCCACTTGTTTCCATCAGTCCGGAATATAAGTTTCCTATATATAGTTTACCAATGATTGCAGGCTCATGAGTCCTCACGTGTTAGGCATAATATATAGGAGCTGTTATCAGGCAATT